AAGGGCGGGGTCGAGCCGGGCGGGCCGAGCCGAGCTGAGCCGGGCCGGGCCGGGCCGGGCGGAGCTATCGGAGGTCTCTGGTGCTGGCTTTCTCAGGCTTAGGGACCATATGTGGAGCCCAAGGGCCAGGGATAAAAGAGGAAAAAAGAAAAGGAATGCTCTAGTGTAGCGGTGACCTGGGAACGCGCGTCCAGCAGGCAGAAAGGGACCATACCATACGGGTATAGACAGTTTATTGAAACATCATACGCCTATGTACAGCAAGGGGGCCTAGAGATAAGTCCGTGGTCATAGGACAATCACAGGACAGAAAGTTTTCGGGGAATGCAGACAGTAAAAGCTAACCTTTAGTCAACCTTTGTTGTCAACAAAGGTGGAGCAGTTCCCTGTGATCAAAGATAATAAAGAGAAAGCAAGGTGCAGCTGGGCTCCATTAAGGACTCTTGAGGCGCTGTTCTACGGAACTGTTTGGAGGAGCACGGAGGGCACTTCGCCGAGGTCGTGGCCGGGCATCCAGACCTTGGTCCCGATAGGGAAGGGCTTCCTCCTTCCAGGCTGGAGGCTGCAGCTGCGTGGCCCGGCCTTGGCCAGAAATATGGAGGAGCGTTCTCCTCGTTGTCCAGCGAACATAAACCTCACACAACACACGGATCCTCAGGCGGGGTCACGCGAGCCTGTGTCTCCCACACTCCAGGACAGTGCTTTCCAAATTACAACCAGTGAGTTATAAAATCACCTTACTCGATGGGGACCAGCATTTTTAATGGAAAGGAATGGAGCAGGATAGAAAACATGAAAAGCAAAGTCTTCATTCGTTTGGAGAGCGAGGAACTGATGAGTCAAAGCAGTAAAAGGAGTGGCAACAATCGCCCAAGAACCAGCCCTCAAAGTTGTATAGATTGTAATTCAGTTCAGGACACGGGGGCACGCGGGACCGCGCACCACAGCAATGACACCTCTCGGAGCCTGGGCTGCACCGGGCCCGGCCCGGACACGGGCCTCGCCCGGCTCCCAAGAACGCAGTGCCTTTGGGGGTGGCGGGCACGGCGCAGCCCCGCAAGAATAATGGCGGAGGCTTTCACGGGCTGGGGGACCGAGGCCGCAGGCGGCCTTGGAAGCTTGCCAGCATTCTAGGCCTCGGACCCCGCCCATCGGGGTGACCTCTCTGCCCCACTGGGGGAGACCTCACCCCGCGACAAGGACACTCGAAGGCCCTAATGGTCCTGGCAGGTGCGCCGGCCCGCGGAGAAACCGTAGAATGGCGAGCGCTGGTGCCCACCGGAAGCCCCGACGATCTCCAGGCCGCTTGTAGGCCTGTGCGTATCGTCTGAAAAAGCTGCTCCCAACTTCCCCAACCTTTTAGAAGACGCCGTTAGTCCTGCTGGGCATTCCAGAAGAGGTTGCCAACGTAGGATAAAGCAGAGATAGAAAGTCACGCTTGTCAATTCCCTTTTGTGAAGACCACAGAAATGTCTTCTGGAAGTGACTTGAATGGCGATGTTAGGCCACCTCCAGACGAGATCGCCAGAGCGACACTCCGTGTTTGTCCTGTGGATGGAGGACGTGGAACAAGACCCGTGGGAGGAAAGAAGAGGGGACCGGCGAAGGCGGTTGATCTGTATGCGTCTTTGGCTCTTTTTGTTTTGGAGGAGAGGCCTGGGAAGACGGGCCAGAAACAGGCCTGAGGTGGTGCTACTTCAACCACAGCAAGGGCTTTGGCCACTTGCCCCCCCCCTTTTTTTTTTTTTGCTTCAGGCTGGTGCTTTACCACTTGAGTCACAGCCCCACTTCTGGCATTTTGCTGGTTAATTGGAGATAAGAGTATTATGGACTTTTCTGCCCTGGCTGGCTTCAAACCACGACCCTTGGATCACAGCCTCTGGAGTAGGATTATAAATGTGAGCCTCCAAGGCCTGGCCTTCATCTTGTGTTTTTTTTTTTTAATTAAAAAATTGTTGCAAAGAACATTTTAAGTACGCCAAAAATAGTATAAGATTTTAGGTATTCATCACATGGCTTAATTATGGTTCACCTACCCAGACCTCAGATTCCTGTAGGGATGCTTCACAATGCTTTCTTAGAAGTTAGGAATTCTTTAAAAGGCCTGACTACAGTATCATTAGTGTCATAGAATTGTTTAACATCAAATATCCAGACCCTGTTAGAACTTTTCTGATCGGCCAATAAAAGTGCTTTGTTGTCATTTGGTCAGTTGATTGACCAATAAAAGTGCTTTGTTACCTGTTCAGTTGATTTTTGTATTATATTCTCTTCAGTTTCTGGGTTTTTTGGTTAATCATGAGGCTTGAACTCAGGGCCTGAGTATTGTACCTGAACTTTTTTGCTAAAAGTTGGTGCTCTATCACTTTGAGCCACAGTTCCACTTATCTGCTCAGTTGATTTTTTAGTAGTTGATTCAACTCAGGATGCACATCTGGTCCCTATTTAGAGTCAACCCCCCGCCCCCATGTCCCTTGTAGCTTATAGTTAACAGATTCCCATGTCTTAGAGGATTTAACAAATGTGTCTTTGAGTGTCATCTGCCTACTGTATTGCTCGTAAATTAAATTTTGATCCAATTTAGATTCAACATTATGGCAAGACTACAGGTGGCCCCCTAGTATGTCATATCAGTTTTTCCTTTTTTATAGTATTTGTTGCCTCTCCTGATAATACTGCTTGTCCAAAGCATCTTTGTATTTTATGCATAGATGTGTAGCATTTCTTGTTACTTCGCATTTTGCCCGCTGATGGTGTGGAGTGGAGCACAGTGAGAAAAGAAAGGGCCTAGAGAAGTTGGTTCCGTGATTTTTGACAGGAAGGTTTTTATTTTGTGTGGGGACTGGGACTTAGGACCTCACGCTCCTGCTCAGAGCTGGCACTGCACCACCTTGA